AAAGAAAGCCCAGAGACAGAGGATGTGGAAGAACCAGGCTGTGCCTTCTCCCTCTCCTGCGCCCCTCACACAGGCTGGAGGACAAGCTGGGAGCCAGGGGCTGCCTTGCCTGCTGGTTTCTGTCCTAACCTGTGTGAGGAGATGCAAAGCCTGGGGGACTCTGTGCAGGCCACTGGGAAGAGCACAGACCCAGGAACAGGCAGCCTGGTGCCCACTTGTTCTATGATCTTAAGTAAACCTATCTCTTCTCAGAATCTGGTATCAGTTTTCTCATATATGTATATATAAAATAATTAAGATTTGTCTATGACATAGTAAAGTCCCTTCCAGTGATGATATTTTGTAAGTCCCTTGGTTGGATCATAATGTTCTCTTCATCACCATCATCATAACTACCACCATTTATTCAGCTCACACATGTGCCTGGCATTGTACTATAATTTTTACATACATTGTTCCATTTTAGCCTCAGTTCAACCTTACAAAGTCTATCGTATTACTCTTATTTTACAGATTAAGATACTGAATCACAGAGAAGTTATATAACTTGCTCTAGATTACTTAGCTATAAAGAGGCAGAACCAAGAAGTCAAGGTCAGATTCCTTGATTTCAAAATTCGCGGTGCCTACCTAAAAGAATACAAGTTCTCTGATAATGATGGATTTGTTTCTAAAATCTACGCATTAATTCCTACAGATTGTTCATTAAAATCAATCTAAAATCTAATGCAAGTTATTATATTTTTGAACCAGGGACAATTGGCTCCCTTAACTATTCCTATTAGCTTACCTGCAAAAGGAAAAAAATTTACACCTTATATCATAATTTGAGGAGAATAATTAAATTAGATGAAGTAAGAAATGTGTGGAAACTAGCTGACATATTGATACACAACTCACAGTTCTTTTATCACCTCTTGATTAAACAAGGATAAGACCCTAAGAAAGAAGCCATCACTTCACTATTGCTGCTCAGAGCAGTTTCAATAGGGTTTCTAATCATCTTTTATGAGGATTGATAAATGAAAGTATTTAAGACTGGTAACAACTTCAGTCTGAACTCAGATATGGCCTAGACATGGCTCTCAAATCAATGGCAAAGAATCTTTTGAGAGATTGTTTGTATTCGTGGAAAGTCCTACAGACACAACTAGACTCTGTGGGAGAAAGCCAGAGATGTCAGCTCGATACAATAAACAGCTTTCTAGTTTAACCTGTTCAAAGACGAATAAAAGGCTTCAGAAGGTAGTGAGTCGTCTATCACCCTAAGTCTTCAAATGGCAGTGTCCTTTGTTGGGTGGGGTTGTACTTGAAGACCTTTAATAACCCTCTCACTGCTAAGCTTCAATGCTTCAGAGATTTTATGATTCTGCGAAGATTTAATAGACATCATGGAGGAGACAAATACTTCAGAATGCATATTTCATTTATCTACTTATTCATTCAGTTTCTTTGCTAAGTCCTTCTTTACACCAGGCTCTGGTCTAGGCACTAGAGATGTAGGGGAAGTAGAATATATTTCTTCCCCTCTGTGAGCTAATAGTCTAATGAGGGACAGATTCATATAAATATAAAGTTCAATAAAATATGCCTCATGTGATATTAGAAGACTGTATAAGGTATAATGAAATGCACAAAGCTCAGGTAATCAGTGCTCTCTGTTTTGGGCTTAATATCTTATTTTCTTTGTTATTTTGTTTATCTTTTGGTTTTGAACATCCGTAATCAGCCGCTAGCCTTTTCTGAACTAGCTCTGAATATCTGCTCTGCAAATTACAGTCAAGGGTGTGTAGAGTTTAGGCCAAAGGCAAAGTTAGAGGGAACAGTCTCTAAGACTGCCCTCACTTCTGACACCAATTGTAAGGTCAGTGGATTCCCCAAATCACCTTCAAGTTTGATAATTCACTGGAAGGACTCAGAGAACTCATTGAAAGCTGTTATACTAACAGTTATGGGTCATTACAAGGAAAGAATACAGATTCAAATGAGCCAAGAGAAGAAGTACCTAGGACAGAGTCCAGAAAATGTAGCAAACCTGGGGTATTCATTGCCTTTACCCCATGGAATCGTTGATGCATTATTCACCTAGCAGTGATGTGTGACACTTCCTAACTCGTTCTATGATGCCGGCATTACCCTAATACCTAAGCCATGAAAAGACACTACAAGAAAGGAAAACTGCAGATCAATATTTCTCAAAATATACATGCAAAAATTCTCAAAAAAATATTAGCAAATCAGATCCAACATTGTATAAAAAAAATTATACACCACAACCAAGTGGGATTGATTTCAAGTATGCAACACTGGTTCAACATTCAAACATCAATTAATGTAATCCATCATGCTAGCAGGAAAAGAAGAAGAAAAATCATGTAATCTTGTCAATTGATGCATAAAAAGCATTTGATAAAATACAACACTGATTTATTATACAAAATGTTAGCAAATTAGGAATAAAGGAGAATTTCCTTAATTTGATAGAGAACATCTAAAAACACTGACTACACTAAATGTTGGTGAGAATGTGGGGCAAAGAGAAACTCTCATTCATTGTTGGTGGAAGTGCAAAGTTGTACAGTCACTATGGAAGACAGTTTGGCAGTTTTTAAAAAAACTAAATATGCTCTTTCCATATGATCCAACAATGGTGCTCTTAGGTATTTACCCAAATGACTCGAAAATATGTCCACACAAAAACCCTCACACAAATGTTTATAGCAGCTTTATTCAGAATTGCCCCAAATTAGAAGTAACCTAACATGTCCTTCAAAAGGTAAATGGATAAACTGTAGTACATCTATAGCATGAAATATTATTCAACACTAAAAAGAAACGAGCTATCAAGACACAAAAAGACATGGAGGAACCTTAAAAGCATATTACTTAGTGAAAGAAGCCAGTCTGTGAGGGCTACATACTGTGTAATTCCAGCTTCATGACGTTCTGAACAAAGTAAAACTACGGAGACAGTAAAAAGTTACCAGGGGGTTGGGGGAGGGAGAGGGATGCACAGGTGGAGCACAGGTAATTTTTAGGGTGGTAAACTATTCTGTATGATACCGTAATGGTGGATACATGTCATTATACAGTTGTCAAAGCCATAGAACTTATGTACTACAGAAACAGTGAACCCTAATGTAAACTGTGGAGTTTAGTTAACAATGTATCAACATTGGTTCAGTGATAGTAACAATGTACCACATGAATGCAAGATGTTAATAACAGCAGAAACTGTGAACACGGGAGAAAGGAGTTATATGGGAACTCTGTACTATCTGCTCAATTTTCTATAAACTTAAAACTGCTCTAAAAAATAGTCTATTAATTTTTAATAAGCGTGGGAATTAAAACTGTTGGTCTCATTTTTTGCAGGCATTGAAATTTGTGGTGGTTTTTTAAAAGTAAGCAGAGGCCTTTTGGCATTGTTTGGTTGGTTTTACTTGGAAACTCCATGGTGTAGAAGTGGAAATTTATAATGTGTTTAGCAAAGGACATTTTACAGAGCGTCTAATAATTGAAGTATGCTGTCATTGACACTCACAATGAGGTCATCACTATAACTCAAAGCAGCTATGGCAAATATCAACCCCATACTGGCCAGCAAGCATGATGGTAAATGCCATAACGACCACAAGGATGATGCTAATTTTCTGTCTTCAATGGTTTAGACAGCCACTGAAGTGATTTAATAATATCTACATAACATAAAACAATGTTACATCACTAGAGTTTCTTTTAAACTTTTTCTTAACTAAATCTAAAAACATACCATATACTTTTTATCAACAGATCCTGAATGTTTTATAATCCAGACCAAGATCAAGAATTAAACAGGAGAGCTTTAATCTTAGACTGTGCATAGTATATAATATTTTTAAATTATTTCTCAAGAGCTTTAAAAGCTGGTCATGACAATTGAGTATACTAAAACAGGTTATTTTCAAAAGTATAAACTTCTTCTTGAAAATCTGTTAAGTAACAAGAAAACTATAATTTAATCCAAACATATACTTTGTAGAAATTTATTAGTCTATAAAATTGTGAATGACAGTAAGTGAAGAAATCAAATAAATAAATAAATCTAAAAAAGAGAATTAGAATAATTATTCTCTCTTTTTCTAAAGAAGCAAAAGACCACAGAAAAATCCACTTAATAAAAATTTAATGAATACTTGCTATTTGAAAAGGATCATTTTAGTAGTTGTTGGGAGTCTAATATTTGTTAGGTAGTGTCAACATCAACAAAACATTCAAAGAAATTAATCATATATATATAAATTAGTCATTCATCAGACACTTAAACTGAGTACCTAATAGAAACCAGACATTGAGAAGGATGCTGGGGAATCAACAATAACAACAGTGACAATACTAGCGAGGACAGCAACTACCATTTATTGAGAGCATTCTATGAGCCAGGCATTGCACAAGTATTTTCCATTTTGTTTTATCCCCATTTTTCAGTGAAAGACCAGAGGATTAGAGAAATTATGTATTTAATATAAACTTTCAGGTCTACTTGCAGAGCCAGTAACTAAGTTATGATCTGTTTCCCTGAAAAGATGCTCAACTACATCATACTACTTCTCATACAAAGACATAGAAGACAAACATGTTTTCCCTCCAAGATCACAGGTCTTAAAGGAGATGAACCAGGCAATGTAGTAATTGCTATGATGCAGGGATATCTACCACATAATATGCAGCAGAGAAGGAAGCTTCTAACTGCCTCATGTGGACCATCCACAGAGTTAATGGCGACAGCCATTTTGAGTTGGAGGATGACTCAGGGGTAGGGAGGCACATAAGTAAAGAGAGCAGGAAGAATAAAGTGTCATTGCATGAGGGAGGTGCATATAGTTTAGGGAAGCTTTTGCACAGAGTGAATTTTTAGAACTGAAAGGAAATATGCTAGAGGAACGAGAAGGCTGAGATCATGAGGAGGATCAGATATTCCTTGCTAAGGGGTTCACACTTTATTCTGTAAGCAATGGGGAAAAACTGACAGAGTATTGAACTGATTAAGTTGCCTTTAAGAGCAAGTGGTGTGGGGAATGGATAAGAATAGGGTATGACTAGAAACAGGGAAACCAGCTGCAGTATTCCAGGCAAGAAATGATGAGAAACTCAACTAAGACAGTCCCATGCAGCAGAGATGAGACAGGCTGGAAGAATGCTAAGCAGGTGGAATTAAGAGACCTGCTGAAAATACGTGCCCCATGGTTCTGGTTTGAATAACCAAGTAGAGAGTGGTATTACTAAGTCTGGGAACACTGAAAGTGGAGAGTTTTAGGGGCCGGCTCCGTGGCTTAGCGGTTAAGTGTGCGCGCTCTGATGCTGGTGGCCCGGGTTCGGATCCCGGGAGCGCCCCGAGGCACCACTTCTCCGTCCAACGTGAGGCCGAGTCCCACGTACAGCAACTAGAAGGATGTGAACCTATGACATACAACTATCTACTGGGGCTTTGGGGGGAAAAAACTGAATAAATAAAATCTTTAAAAAAAAAAAATAAAATAAAAAAAAAAAAAAAAAAAAAAAGAAAGGGGAGAGTTTTAGAGGTGGGGTAGTGCAAAGGATTCCTGGACCCATTTCCAACGTGTGTGTGTGGGCTTCCCCACACCATCAAGCAGTTCTCGGATGCTGGCAGGGTATGTGAGAATTAAACTCAGTTCTGACACTATCTAGCTGGAGATAGAATCAGATTCCACAGATGAAGGGCTCAGTCCCACAAAACTGCCCTCCATTTCAGATGCCAGTCTCAAGCCCAGGTTGTTACCTGTGCTTCCGACCAACTGACTATGAATCAGAGGTTCCCATGACCCCCTCCTCAGGTTCAATTAATTTGCTAGACTGCCTCACAGAACTCAAAAAAACCTGTTTACTCATTCGATTACTGATTTATTACAAAGGATATTAAAGGATACCAATAAACAGCCAAATAAAGAGGTACCTAAGGTGAGGTCCTGAACAAAGGAGCTTCTGTCCTCATGGAGCTTGGGGCCCAGCACGCTAGCACATGAAGTGTTCTGGTCCCCCAAGGTGGAATCTCTCCGCAACAGGGCCAACGAGCTGTCCTTTTGGGTTTTTAAGGAGGCTTCATAGTCTTGATTAAGTCGTTGGCCATTAGTGGTTGATTCAACCTCCAGCGCCTCCTCCCACCCCAGAGGTCAGGGGTCGGGACTGAAAGTTCCAACCCTCTAATCACATGGTTGGTTCTCCTGGCAACCAGCACCCTTCCTTAGGTGAGGTCCAAAAGTTACCTCATTAACATAACAAAAGACACGTTTATCACTCCCAACACAGGAAATTCCAAGGGTTTTGGGAGCTCTGTGCCAGAAATGGGGATGAAGACCAAATATATATTTCTTATAAATCACAATGTTACAGGCAGTTATGAGTTCAGTTTTAAACATGCTGAATTTTAGGTGCTATGGCATCTGTACATATAGATTAAGTCCAGCAATAATCAGAAAAACATGGCTGTCTGCAAAAGAGAAGAAGATTTGTGGCTTTATAAGCAATACCGAAGTAGTAACTGAGTCCGGCTTCAGTTGAGATAACCCGGAGTGAGAGGAGACTGAGAAGAATAGAGTCACAGGTTATATGCAGACCCTAGCTTTTAAAGGGGAAAGAAAACTATGACAAACAAAAGGAGAAATATGATAAATAGCCAACATGGGGGGAAAGGCTGTTATGCAAGCTGAGGATTTCCCTCTGCTTCAGTCAAGTGACATAACCGAGCCCTTGTTACGCTGTGAGGGCAGCAGGCAGAGGAGTAAATGCCCTCAGACGGCTTCATCAAGTACCTTAGCTGTGAGAGATGGATGCGTGGTGGAGTGAAAACTAAAGAACCTGGGAGACATGATGGAGAGGGATTTTTCTTTTTGGACTAGAAGCAAATTGAGCAAGCTTGGACTTCAGGGAAAATAAGGAAGAAGGTAAAGTACGGGGGCTCATATTTCCTTCCATTCCGGTTCTTAAGCAAACAAAAACAACAGAAGCTTGCTTTGGATAAATTAAATTCAAACATTATAATTATAAAACTATCTCGCTTTGATTCAAGCAGAACCTAAGCAGGTACATTTCACTTGGGGAAATAATTTCTCTATATTATTATTACATACTAAAATGTTCCACTTAAAAACTTATGCTTTTTGCTTCTGATTTTAAAGGAAATTAAAACATTTTTGTAATGTGGACT